ATTTTTTCAAGACTCATATATGGCAGTTCTAAGATACTAAAAGTATATTTTTATATTAACTACACGAATCCGAATGAGAACAGTCTTTTGGGCTAAGATAAATAGAAAATAATGAAACTACCACGGACAAAATTAACGCGAAACGTATTTTTGATAGATAATTTCATTAAAGGTCGACCACGAATAATATAAGTTTTTCAGAAATATTTTTCGTTTATAGAACTTTGTAGAGCTCGTTTCGCTGATCATTTTGGTAAAAAAAATATTCAAATTTACTCAATAAATAACGAACTTTTAGTTTTTTGACTCTAATGCCATTATTTATTGAGCAAATTTCAATATTTTTTTGCCAAAATGATCAGCGAAACGAGCTCTACAAAGTTCTATAGATGAAAAAAAGTTTCTGGAAGATTTGTATTTTTCGTGGCTGACTATTAATGAAAATATCTATCGAAAATGCGTGTTGCGTTAATTTTGTTCGCGGTAGAAAGTTAGAATCTTTAGAACAACTCAAAATAAAAATATGTGTTACATCTACAATAATTAATTTGATTAATATTCTTTTGATTTTTTATTAGACAAATCATCCATGATCAATGATTATTATGGTACATCAACTGATCAATTTCTAAGACCTGTCATTTTTGAACCGCTCGCTCTACAAGCACAGGTGAGAAGATGAATTTTTGGTTTTTCATAAAAACATCTTTGTTAAATTCTAGTCGGATAAGCCAAATAGTAATCAACAACTAACTCCACTTCAAGTAAAATAATTAAATTAAAAACCTAATTTAAAAAGATTGATTCGTTTTTGGTGTAGAACGAATTTCATGATTTTAGAATCAGTAGTTATTATTCACCATGTATATGTTATCATTGTCACAATGCATTAGTTGGAATTATGCGACAAGGATTGTACTGTAAACGTAAGTCAATTTAAGTCTACTTTTAATCTTCAAATAAACTCATGTTTTAGGCTGTCAAATAATTTGTCATCCTGATTGTGTAGAGAAAGTTCAAATTTCATGTGAACCATCTAATAAAGATCGAAGTAAATTTTTTTTTTTAATCTTTTTTTCTTTTCGTTATCTATATGAGTTTAGATCAAGCTAATCAAGATGTCCAACATATTGTCCAAGTATGTTTTATAAATATAAATTTCTCTATTTTTAAATAGAATTACAAACAGATACCAAAAGCTGGTGGTATTAGAAAAGGTTGGAATCAATGTCAAATATTATTCTTTCAAACAAAATTATTATTTTATAACTTATCAAATAATACAAATATAGTAAAGTCAGAACCATCATTAATAATTGATCTTACTGATGATAAATTTAATGTTTGTTCAATAACACCAGAAGATGCAATACATGCTAAAAAGAAAGATATACCAAATATTTTTAAGGTTTAGATTTTGTCTTTTAGTTTTTGTTGATATTTCAATTTTTGACAATTTAATTTAGATTAGTGTAGAAAAATTATCATCATCAAGACAATTGAAAAATCTATATGTATTAACAAAT